TGCTCGATGCAGACGTTCTGTGACATGAAAATACAATCTGTATTTCAGTTTGTTTTTCTTTAATCCGATTACGTCATTCAGTTCATAAGACGTTCTATCTTTACTCACTTTTCTCTTGTGTCAGATACCAGACAGCTCCTAACGAATACTGACAATGCTATATTTATCAAGTTTCAGATGAGTTAAATAGACATAAAACATTTATTAATGGAGTGCTTCTCTCATTATCATTTATCAATCTTTCTGTTTGGTGAAAGTACGAAACTTGTGTTGCATGAAATTTCCAAGAGGATATTACCTGCTTCCCTTGAAAATCATCATATGAAAATTTCTTTTAACTGACTTCAAATACTAACTACGATGACTCTAGATGCTGAAAGTAATGACACTCTCAGCCAATAAGCAAGAAATAGATGAATAAAGACAGATTAGAGAAGAAAAAGAAGAAAAATTATTACTTGAAATGTCTGGAAAATTTTATTAATTGATCAAAAGAAATAACTTGCCTATATGTCTGAGATGAGGTATTATGTACATTATTTACATTATTCGGACTATTGTCCTCATCTTTGTCGCCACATTTATCACAACGTTTCGGCCGTTGTACGCTCCGGCCTTCTTCAGGTGGTTGGAATGTCGAACTGAACCCTTTATTTCGCTCACTGGGGTAGACTGTTCTAGTTCCACGTGCCATGTTTAATGGATGTCAGTTATCAGTTATCTCCTGTTAATTTCCCTCTGAAAGTTCTCCACTGCCTTAACCAGGTATTGAACTCACACTCTTTGGGTCCTGTCACTGGATCTAACCAAGGACACATGGCACAGTGAATAAAGGCGTCGGTTAGATCCAGTGGATAAAGGATATATGGCACAGTGGATAAAGGCGTCGGTTAGATCCAGTGACTGGACCCAAAGAGTGTGAGTTCAATACCCGGTTAAGGCAGTAGAGAACTTTCAGAGGGAAATTAACAGGAGATAACTGATAACTGACATCCATCAAACATGGCACGTGGAACAAGAACAGTCTAACCCAGTGAGCGAAATAAAGGGTTCAGTTCGAAATTCCAACCACCTGAAGAAGGCTGGAGCGTACAACGGCCGAAACGTTGTGATAAATGTGGTGGCAAAGATGAGGACAATAGTCCGAATAATGTAAATAGTGTAAATAATACCTCATCTCAGAAATATAGACAGATACTGAAAGGCCGAAATGTTGTAATAAATATGGCGACAAAGATGAGGACAATAGTCTGAATAATGTAAATAAAGAAATAACTTAGTTAATGAAAAATTAATTTCGCAGATGTATAAGAGATTAGTTAAAGTGATACAAATTAAACCGTTTCCATTGATTGCACAAAGTATATTTTAATGAAACAAAGATTCATCAAAGATCAAACATTGCATAAGTAAGAGTTCCTTAAGATTAGACTAAAATATTTAAAATTAATCTTAACTATTATACCTTTCCATAGAATTAATCAATAAATACTGTAAAAAATTCCCTAAAATTTATACATACTCACAAAATAAATGGATTACATCTTTAACTTTATGCTGGTTGTAATTATCTTAAAAAGTATAATCGACGAGAGATTGTTTATGATCGGCTTTCGTCTTTAATCTGTAATTGCAGATATAGAATAATCAACTCAAAATACATATCTCAGTAGATAGTCATTAGCATCGGATGTTAATAAATTTCCATCAGCATAACTCATTATAGTTTTGCACTCATTTACAAATTACTCATTGATGGAATCTCTGCACAATCCAAATAAGGAGATCTCCTCAGGTTTTATTGGCTTAAAATTAATCAATTAATGGATTGCAGCTTAGATACTGAAGTCGTTTATCTCGATGACACTTTTAGTTTTGCATGTGTCCATTAGTCATTTATTTTGCCGTATGAAAAGTTTCAAATGAATTGATTCTTATTGGACGAACTTCTGCATAACATGTCTGTACTTTTAATCGATCAAGTGTTATATTACTTATGATAACTAAGTAGGCATGTGAGGCACTTTTTTCTTACTGATGAAAACCTGAGGTAACCATTATTTTTAGTCCGGATTATTGTTTTTTTTAATAAACTTTGGAGTGCATTGTTAATCTTCAGTTCAGTCATTGAGTTTTCACTCATAACTTTTGGTTATACCAATGAAAAGTGAATATTTTTTAAAATGTTCAGCGTGTTCTAAGATTACCTGGCACAGATAGCAAAATTCAATTGTAATTGCCACAACGAATTGGCGAGACACCTCTGACTTCTTATTTCTATCTGGGTTTATTCGCAAAATAAACGTATAGTCTTTTACTGGCGGCTCTGTAAAATTGTAAGATCCCTCCTCTCTTCAATCAGTTTTAAGTATTGTTATTTACTGCTAATAAAGAAGAATGCTTTGCTAGGAAATTTTCTTCTAACTCCACTCTCGACCCATCAGGAATATCAAAAGGAATCTTTACTGAGTGATATGTGCATATAATTTCGTCTATATTTTCTGCTATCATCTCCAAACTAGATTCACACAGGATATGCAGACTTGACGATATGCCTGCAATTGTCCCAAGGAAATGTGCTCCTGAACTATGTCATTCTTGTGCTTTTTCTTTATTTATAGATCTATCTATCTATCTATCTATCTATCTATCTATCTATCTATCTGTTATAGAGTAGTTTTCACAGTGGAGGCTTGTATTTCGCTAAGTCGGTCCTAAAAGGGTCCGACGTACAAAACGTTAGGAACTTGAAATAATAGTTAATGACGCAGCAATCTAGTTGTGATGGTTGATACTTCAATGTTCGACAGACTCACTCAACTGTACTGAGCCCAACTGGCGACCGCTATTACTACTACTACTTATGTGTGGGAGAGTCTATTAATAATAGAATAGGTACGTTCAGGTATAACACTATCCATGTGTGTGTGCATATATATGTGTGTGCGCGTTAGTGTGTGTGTGTGTGTGTCTGTGTATGTTTCGTCTTATTCAAAATGATCTGGGAGAAAAATAATATATAAATTTTATATATCAACTATATAGCTATATTATTGGACAATTAACTGACAAAATGATAAAGAAAACTGTTACACGTTTCTTCTTTCAAAATGACTTCATTACACTAAAATGATGTACTTATTGATGAAATTATATATATATATATATATATATATGGGGGGAAGGGACGAAAATTTAATAAAAAGAAAGTCGGTCATAATTATAGATTGACGGTGACGCTGAAGATGTGGGACGCTAAATTTGATTTTAAATTTCTAGCGTCCGATTCGTTTCGACTTACAGCATAACCGACTTCATTCAGCATCCCAATACTGTTTTCCCGTCGCTAGTGTGTTTTAAATATACTACATTGTGATAGTTGGAGCTTTGTTAAGATATTTCTCTTAAAGACTGTTAAAAAAATTTATCTCCATGATGCTTGAGTTGATTACCTAAGAATTTTTAAAAGTGGCTTTTACCTTTATGTATATATGCATATACATCTATACGGACACATCTCCAGAGATAGGCTTGCACATATACTCAATCACGTACGCATACATACATACATACCTAGACATATTTATGCAAATACGCACAGTGTCAAGAAACACACCCTCTGAAATGAAGTTTTATGTCATATTTCTATGAGTAATCTGACATTCTGTTTTTGTTTTTTTTTGTTTTTTTTGTTTTTTTACTGATCATTTATTCTCCATGTCACTTTTTGCCTGTCTACCTGTCTTTCTTGATTTAAAAAATAATCTTATTAAAAGAGCAAGAAATTTACTAGGTCAAAAGTGTATAGAATGCGTTTTGATCTAGATCATCCACAGTAAATTTGGGTCCAGGTTCTTAACATTTCACCTTTCTTGGCAGATCTTCAATTATCACAATGCGGGATGCTTAATGCAAATGATAAAACCAAAATCAAAATCAGAAAGAAACTGAATGACATTGTCTTGACCGCATTCCCAGACAAATCGGAGAAAAATTAAATTATTAGTTTTAAATTTCAGCGTTCCATCATCTTCAGCATTTCCTGTCGGTGCATAATTGTAACCGTTGTTTGCGGTTTTATATCCCCTCTCCTTCCTACACATATATAATTCCATCAACAAAAACATTACTTTAGTCCTAGAGGACGAAACGCGTTAGATAGAATTTTTTTCACATTGTTATTCATTTTCCTAATATATATATATATATATTTATGTTATAATTTTTAAATAAATAATTATATTCGCTCTACTTTGTATTGAGCACTCTTTTAAGAATAGTAATTGTTGTTTATTGGAATTTATTCCGTATACACCAATCATATACTTGTATATATATATATATATATATATATATATATATGAAGAAAAATATACTGGAAAAAACAAACAAAAATCCTAATATGCGATTATGCTATTTTAATGTTTAATGTCAACGTCGGACGTTTCGGTCTAATAGACCATCTTCAGGACATATTCATTAAACATAATTAACATAGACCATATACAATTCAACATAAAAAAGACGATGGATATAAAAGCAATACCAATCCAAACAGATAACTGAAATCTTTTATAAGATCAGCGTTCCGTTTAAATATGATCACGTCGTCGTCACGTGGGCGACGTTGTGAAAACGTATTAAAATTTGAGTATTTAAAAAATTTCAGATATCTGTTTGGATTGGTATTGCTTTTATGTCCATCGTCTTTTTCATGTTGAATTTTATATGGTCTATGTTAATTCTGTTTTATGAATATGTCCTGAAGATGGTCTATTAGACCGAAACGTCCGACGTCGACATTAAACATTAAAACAGCATAATCGCATATTAGGATTTTTGTTTGTTTTTTCAGTATACTTTTCTTCATACTGTCGGATCTATATCCATATATTTGCTTATATATATATATATATATATATATATATATATATATATATATATATATATATATATATTCAAAACTGTTGTGCTCAAAAGTCCATTTATTTATTTTTCAGGGGTTTAAAGAAACTGCTACTTTGGCATCCAGCTACAACACTGCACCTAACGGAGGAGGCAGTGGGGAGATTATTCCAGACGTAAAACCAAAAATAATAAAGCGGCGTCGTTCGCAAAGCACAGTCAGTCTGAAAGGACAAATTCCTGGAGGAGAAAAATTACATGGTTCTAGTGTTCATATACCAAAAATGTAAGTTTATGTGATTTATATTGTGCCTTAAATATACTTGACTTATAGAAGCACAAGAAATACATTTTCTGGCCCCAACCCACAAAAAAGTAATTTTAGTATTACATGAATTTTATTTATTAAAGACATTTTTATGTTTAACGTTCTTTTTTATAGATACAAGTATTTAAGTAAATGCTCTGTTTATAATAAACAGTATTAAATAACATTTACCGGCCTGAATGTCCGAGAAATTTTCATAGAAAATATTCGTCCTTTAATTTATTTAATACTGTTTATTATAAACAGAGCATCTATAAAAAAAGAACGTTAAACATAAAAATGTCTTTAATAAATAAATAAAACTTTGTCCATTTCTTAATATATGACGTCATTTGTTTACATTTGATACGCCAGAGCAGTTATGAATGTACGAGATTCATGGAAGATTGAAGTTTATAAGCAGTAAATTCGACCTTGCCTACCGAACGCTCCTTTGTGGCCGAGTCGGTTAAGGCACGTCAGCGTAAATGACGGTTCTGTATAGGGTGCAGGTTCGAATCCTGTCAAAGGACGAATATTTTCTATGAAAATTTCTCGGACATTCAGGCCGGTAAATGTTATTTAATACTCTTTCATAAACAGAGCATTTACTTAAATACTTGTATCTATAAAAAAGAACGTTAAACATAAAAATGTCTTTAATAAATAAGTTGTCGGACTTTGTCCATTTCTTAATATACATGAATTTTATGTTAAACTCCCACCAAAAACACAGCAATTGCTTTCTATTGGCTTACTTACTTTTATTTGTCTAATCTGACAACGTTTCATTTTGCTATCATATACTAAAGTTCCATTGGCAATATTTTTATTATTTAAATGCATATATATTCATAAAATGCATTGAGAGAAATGAATGTAATTCTGTAGAATTTTAGATGATTGAAAAAATAAAAAAAGAAATTAAATTCATAAGCCCACCTTTATTAATTTATTGTCGACCTTTACATTATATTAGATTCCTAGATGACAAAGACAAGTTCAGTTATATAACAAATGGTCCAAGATTTTACAACTCTTATTACCATTTACTATTTATCAAGTAAAATAGTTTTTGCTTCTTCAAAGCGGATATTATTTATTGCTGATACACTCAGGCAGTTATACAGACAAAGCAACACACAGAAGGATATAATATGCCTGAGACATATTTTATGGTTAATGGTTAAAATACTGAGTAGGTTACAGCAAATGCTCTGATATCTCAAATGAAGTTGTGATTTATTCAGAGAGAAAAAATGTTTGTTTTTTTCTATTTTTCCTATTTCGTATATGAATTTCTTTGACAGAAATGATGTCCGACTTTTTTTTAATATCTTTACAAATGTTGAAGTCAGCAGAATTTCCCGTGAAAGATTCACGAAAAGCAAGCATTTCAACGTGGGTGTTGTTGCCAATATTCTGATCAAATAACCATTCCGGGATTTTAGTAACAATTGTGTCACAATTGAATTTCTTTTTTTATGCTTGATAGATTCTTCAAAGTTTCTGATATGAAAACCGAGAATTGATTCTTCAGTATTCAACCTTAAGTTAAAGTTTGTCGCTAGTTATGCTGTAATATATAGAGTGAGATAGTGTGATTTACCTCAACATAGAATGTTTTGTCAAACTATTGATCTTTTACGACATAAAATTTTTATCCTCATAATGAAATTAAGGTTATGTCAATACGTACGTTGACCTGGCTATCAAACGTGCTTTCATTCAGTGATTGATTGCATAAGAAGTGTTCATCACTGAAATAACTCGGTCTGTATTATAAGGCATGTCGATGAAGTATTACAGAGTGGGTCTTTTTAGCTGGTTTTTTTTTTTTTACCTTTAACCTTCACCTGCCAGGCAGCAGGTTCTTGGATGATCAGCAACATTTTAAACTGACAAATTAATTTCTATATTGCTATATCAAGCTAAAAAGAGTTTTTTTTTTCTTGTCTTTCATTCCGTTTTCTTTCTATACCACTCTTATTAAATAAAATAGAGCAACTTAAGAATTATCTGGTTAATTTGAGATTAGCCCTTTCCTTGATTTAATAACCAATCAGATTATTGATCCCAAAACATGTTTGAAATATAATCACGCCTTCTCGTCTTCTTAGATGGTTGTGTTCAGTCATTTTTTTTTAAATATGTTCCTCACATTAACAAAATTAACGAATGTGTATAGTTTAAATTATTTTTATTGGTTATATTAAATAAATTTATTTCAGTTGTTTGTTATATTTTATTTAACTAGAAATAGAAAATATATACAAATAACTTAGTTTGGAACACAGTTTGTACCATGAAGACTATAGCATCATATTTTCTTTGCTATTTGACACCAATACAAAGCCCAAGAGCCACTTAGTGTAAAAGGTTACTAGATGTGGTTGTTTTGTGGGCGTAAGAGGAATAATACACGTATATTATTAGGATATGTAGGATATATAACAGTTGACTAGACTCGAAAAGGTTAAGATTGTAGTAATCAAGGAAGCATCCCTGCGGGAGTCTGTTCAACAAAGCTCTTGAAAAAAAAAAAAGAAGCTGAATGGAACTTCCTTCTTAACAATGGAACAAAGAAGGGAATTGAGGATGATTCGACCCTGAATACACGGCATGGTGGGTCTTCTTAGCCGATCATTCGATCCTGAATACACGGCATGGTGGGTCTTAGCCGATCATTCGACCCTGAATACACGGTATGGTGGGTCTTAGCCGATCATTCGACCCTGAATACACGGCATGGTGGGTCTTAGCCGATCATTCGACCCTGTAATGCATTACGGTTACATGCGAATAAATTTTTGTTTCAAATGAAATTTATTTGTTACCAAGATGATTATGCATAATAATCAGTTAGAATGGAAAGTGATTTATTTAGGAATTGAATGACGCAGAGTTTTAATTAGTTTGGAAGTAAAGTGGGAAATGGTTGTAGGCACATACCTAGGTTTGTTTATTAAGTCGATTTTTATAAAGTAAAGTCTTATCATAATAAGGAAATGGACTAAAAAAGAAATTTGCTTAATAATCTCATAATGGGGGTAGAGAGATAAATTGTTAAAGAGTCACAAAGGTTTAACTTGGGTGTTAATAGTTTAAAAAAAAAGTATTTATTTTTATATTTAATACTTGATCCTCACTGTACAGCGAACACGAGACGAGTGTATACAAGGTAGAATTTCTGCTACTTTTATCATATCTTATTAAAATTTAACGATAACAGCTTGCCAAATGTGTATTATTGAATGTTGAAGTTGAATGTTAGGATATGAATAATGACTATTTACTAAATTTAATATCTTGAGTTACAAAGCTAAAAGCAATTATATGAGTCTTTTACATTTTTTATTTAATAATTTTTTGATCATTTTAGCGGAGGTATTTTTCCTTTGTTGACTCAGACAGTACGTTTATGAATTATACGCAATGTATCTCATCAGACTTTGAAAAGTGGGTCGGACACAGAGATAATCACCATCTCTTATAGCAAGCAGAAAAGCTTTATAAATTCTTTGCTTCATTTATTTCTTCAGTTCGATATCATACTGTTGCAACGCAGTATGTATTTCGCATAAAAGGGATCACATTTTAGTGTGTTACAAGTTGATTACTTGTGAGAAAGACATTATACCAGTTTCAGTCTTCCCTTGAATACTATCACATTTTATGATATAAAAACAAATAACCATATAGGCAAATGATAAGCAGTAGAGTTTTAATAAGTTTATGAAAATATTTTAATTTTGTTTCCCCATTGGTTAGTGTTGAAACTTGACTAATGCATGGAATAATAATGCAACACAAAATGTACTTAGAACAAAATGTATTGAAACAAGAAAGTGTACACAATATTTACATATAGTCTTTTGTATATTCCTGGTAAGACCGTTCCAGGAGAATGTGTTGACTGAGTCGCAGTCGGGCAGAGTCTCTGATTGAATCTCTTGATTCCTCCCTCTCTTCCCGGTACCAACCATATTTATATGGTCAGTACTCCACTATGCAAATTAGGTGGATCCTACCACAACAGCTAGTAGATAAAATCTATCGTATCGCTGGGCTAAATTAGCCAAATATTACTTACTTGTACTTTAATACAGATCAAGGATACAGCTGGGTAGCTTTTGGAAACTTTTATCAGAAATCTCCAAAGAGAAGCCTTTGTTTCACCAAAAATGTAATGCCTAAATTCAGTGATTTTCTTTCAACCAGGGAAACAAATCCGTCTGGATTCAAGTATATCTTGGAAACCCCAACATCCACAACCCAACGAATTGAAGAAGACCGAATCACATATTTAAATAAAGGTAAATATAATTTCTTTAGACCAAAGGTTATCCTTTTATCCATATCTTGTCTGTGACATTCTGACTTAATATTTAGTGCTCTTTGTCATTGACAAAAAAACTATCCCCACCAAAAACAAACAAACAAGCAAAAAACATTGCATCTTAGAAAATTGTATGTCAGTAATTATTCCAACATTTACTCAACTCATTGTACATAGTTTAGTTCAGGATAATTTCTTCATCTTGCTTTGTTTTATCGCAAACTTTCGTCAGTGTGAACACCGGCATTTCTGATAGATTGTTTTAAATTCGGCTTTAATAAGCTTCCCTTCTAATGCACATTGCTTTCTGATGAATTGCGTGTCAGTGTTCTTGGAATTGTCTCCCCTTCTGTATACCCTCTCAGAGCAAGATTTGGTATTTCATAATTCAACACACACCTGAGGAAATTAGTCCACGTTACGTCAAAAATTTGAGACAAGAGTTATTTTAGAACATTTTGGAGGTTATCTTTTGAATAAGTCATGTTTATAAATATTGACCTTAATCATTGAAGAATTTATCTTTGAAAATCTCTTTTCAGTATTATAATGAAGGCGATAGGAGTAAATATTAAAATTGTTTACATCACACACCTTTAAAAACATAAACAGACATATGTATAAACATCTACAAATATATAAATTCCGTTCAAGCATAAAATTATCAGATATCTTTTATATACGTACATTTACAGCATCATTATTCAGGCATCAAAGTATTTTTCCTAAGATATACGATACTTTTCAGGTAAACAGTGTATTTTAGCATAAAAGAACGATGATAATTTTGATTGAATAAATTCCTTGAAGAATTTTTCGTTAATTTAAACTTGAAAACAATTGGGGTTTTTTTCTTCTGTTTCAATGCGTCATTCAAACAGATGTCAGTCGCTCTCTGTAGCCTTGAGAAGTAACAGTTTGTCTTGAAGTTTGTAATAAAGAAATCTTTTCTGAATACAAAAAGAAACATCTTTTTCCACTGTGGGTTTCCTTTACATCTAGATAGTTAATGCTACCTTGGATCTCGTAACGATTTTCTTCGTTCTGATGTCTTGTAATGAATTCATTTTTAAATCTACACTATAGGAAAATAATTTTTTTTTCTACCGTGACGAAAGAAGCGAAATATAACTATTTAAAAGCTAAGTTTTCCAAGGAGTTGCATATTGCATACTGACGATACAAGCAATAAAGAGCTGTGTAAACTTTAAAGAATCTTTTAAGATTTTTTTTTTTAAATTGTGTAAAACATCGCACGGTGAGTTTAATATATCTCATATGTGTTCACACATATGCGCACGAATACATATACACGTTTATTCTGTAGTATAAAACACAATTTGACGTTATACTTTGATTAGTCATACAACCTGAAATCCTTTTCTTAATAATAAAATATTCCCCTGTAGAGTAATAGAACGTATTGCCCAAAACTAATAAGCAAGCATATCTCGTTGTAAAATAAGGAAATATCTCATTAGCTCCTGGCAGAAATCAGGTTATTCATTTATTTATCTGTTTCATTTTAGTTTTTTTTTCGATATTTGTATTTATATAATTTAAAAATAGAATTCTTTCTTATATGTGATAATAATAATTACACATATTACCTATTGCTCACGCAGAAATTCATAACAACTGAAAAATTGCTTAAAACTAATATGCATATAATATATTAGATCTGTTAAAGGAAAGAGAGAAAGAAACATCAATTTCTTCATGACACTATATTTAAATATAAATTTGCAAATATCAGCTGATATATATCTCTATCTATAAAAGGCAGGGTGTGTGTGTGCGCGTTTGTGTGTGTGTGTGTGTAACGAATGCACGGCCGCAATTTTCGACAGATTTGCACCAAAATTTACATGCACAGGCTCCAAGTTAGCTGGAAGGCCAAGACCGACTTTGCATTTTCCAACTCCCATCGATAGTGGAAATAATTAATTTTTCATGCTTCTACTGCAGTTTTCATGTAGTTTGCGGCCATTTTGTACCAATAGCTGGTTGCCACGAATAGGCAGGAAGATTCTATTGGCCAGCGTAAGAGCCAACAGCTGACTAACACGAATGTTAACTAGCATGCTAGCATGCAAAAAAAAATCGATAGCTGCATTCGTCACAAGTGGGAAAAATTTAAATCTGCATGGCACTTTACTCCAATTGGCTCATTCGTTTGCTTAAACTCAACGTTGATTCTGATTCCGCAGAACTGGGTTCGGTGTGAAAAAGTATTTGTTGTTAACATTCTTTTTTCATTCGGTTTTTCCAGTTACGAGTCCTTTCTTAAAGCTGATCGTTTTGTGTTCATTTTGTTTAGTTCTTTTTTCGTAACAGATTTAATGTTTAGTATAGAGCTTAGAAAAAATTCGCGTACATCAGTACGGTAAAGGTCACTCCTTTAAAGGCAAGGAAGGGCAAAAATATTTTAAATCAAGTGATAGCGATTGCTGTATGAGTTTTACGATTTTTGAATCAAGTACGGGCAACGCCAAATATGCTGCTAGTATATATATATATATATATATATATATATATATATAATAATCTTAAGACGTTGACAATTTGATTCTTTTCAAAGGATGGCATTATCAATAATATTTTTTTAATGAAAGCAGGCAGTTGTTTGTGCGTGTTCGTGTGCTTTTTATGGAACGGAGATCACTTAAGTGGTTTGTCACTGTTTTACTGATTGTTGTCGACGTATATCCAATGTAGATAATCGCTTTATAACAAGTGATGTTTTCTTGAACTGGGCAAAAAATTAATATACTATACTAATCGGCTTAAGTCTGGATTTGATAGGCTTGTTGCAATTTTCAATTATGATGTTGGCAGTTTTTAATTTTTCATAGTATAGCGTAAGTTTTGCACGTTCGCTGGGGTCAGCGGGTGAAATGTATTGTGTAATGATGCGTCGCGTGGTGAATTCATCTTGTTTATAATATTTTTGCATTTGATTATAGTAAAAGATGTTAATGTTTTGTTATACTGCATTTTTAGTGATGGTGCAGTTTAATTTCTGTAGGGATAATTTTATCTGGTTATTAATAATATAGTAAGGAAAACTTATTGTTAACCTATTTATTATGTTTGTGTTCATTAAAATATTTTCCGCTAAGAGGATTTCAGGTGTTACTTTATTTAGGAAGTTTCTTTTTTTATCTTTTTTTTATCTATTTTTGTTTTTCATTCTTTTATCGCTTTGTATACATTGAAATTGTTTTCTATAAACAAATCCTTGTTTGTGATAATGTTAACAACGAAGAGAAGTTTTAGACGTAACAGACTGACACAATTAATAAACTGATACTCTTCAAGACCAGCAGTGTAAATTCAACAGGAAATATTTTACATATCTTATGCTCTATCATAAATCAAACAATTTGTAACTTTTAAAAATTCTTCTTGAATACATGCTTATAAGAAATATCTTGCATTTTTTGTTTGATTACCATATTCGCAGGAATCCATTATTTTTCTGTTTTTTTTTTCTCTCTATTAATCTCGCGAATACATTATTGTGAGGAAATCTCTTAAGGCGTTATTTTCTAAATCTGAAGCAAAAATGTACTCTATAGCCTGTAATGATTGCTACAATCAATACATAGGTGAAAGCTTCAAGAATATGTAATGATTATATAAACATAAAAGAGATATTTTACAAAACAACATTCTCACCATAATTGATCTGACCATAGTCTCGATTAAAAAAGGCTACGTTAATTAAAAGGGAAAGCAATTTACTGAAGCGAAAATGTACAGGAAGTGCTTTGATCAGTAAATAATCCATAGTACATTTGCATCTTGGTTCTTACAAAACTTCATCTTTCTTGTCAGATATAGAATAATTAAAAACAAAAACAAATTCTTATGAAAACTGAATTAAGTAGATTGGCTAGGCTATATGTTCAGAAACGTCTAAAAAATTAATTTAAACTTCAGCGTTCCCAAATCTTCAGCGTTTCCCATTGGTACATAATTATAACCAGCACTCGCCTTTTTACATCTCCCTTCTCTCTACAAATTCCATCAATAAAAACATTGTTTTAGTCCGATGAAGTCCTAAAAGATGAAATGTGTTGCACAGAACATTTCCTCTTATTCTTCTAGCTTAATAATATATATATATATATATATATATATATATATATATATATATATATATATGAAGAAAAAATACAGAAAAAAAAAACAAAAATCTGAATATGCAATTATGTAGTATTAATGTTAATATAAAGTCGACGTCGGACGTTTCGGTCTATTTTAGACCATCTTCATGGACATTTTCATTTAAACATAATTAACATTAGAACTTATAAAAATTTAACACAAAAGACGATGGACATAAGAGCCCAACTAATCCAAACAGATAACTGAAATTTTATACAAGATCAGCGTTCCGTTTAAATATGATCACGGAAGAGATTTCTTGAACTGTTTATACAAATTTTTCAATCGACTTTTTTAATATTTTAATATTTGGAAATCATCTTCGAATACGTTTTAACAACATCGCCCACGTGACGACTACGTGGTCATATTTAAACGGAACGCTGATCTTGTATAAAATTTCAGTTATCTGTTTGGATTAGTTGGGCTCTTATGTCCATCGTATTTTGTGTTAAATTTTTATAAGTTCTAATGTTAATTATGTTTAAATGAAAATGTCCATGAAGATGGTCTTAAATAGACCGAAATGTCCGACGTCGACTTTATATTAACATTAATACTACATAATTGCATATTCAGATTTTTGTTTGTTTTTTCTGTATTTTTCTTCATACTGTCGGATCTATATCCATATATTTGCTTACATATATATATATATATATATATAGATAATATTAGTAGTAAATATACACATGCATATGCAATCATATATCTAAAATATATAAATATATATACATACACATACATATATATTTGTATAAAAAATAATTCCAAGAGGATAGTATCCAGGTAGAACTCAATGTCCAGGACAGAGTAAGGATATAATTTTCTTGATTACACAGCGGCCCTTTTATAAATGCCCTTCGGTTTTAGTTCCCCCCCCGGCCCCATCGCTCTCCCCCACCCTTTTTCTTTTCTTTTCTTTTCCTCTCCCTCTCTCTTCTTCTGTTCCTTAAGATTACATCGTCTATTGTGTGTGTATGTCACCACAAAATGTATCCTTTCCGGTTACATCTTTAATGTATTAGACATCCGAGAACATTCATATTTCTCTCACTTAAACCGTCTTTGACTCCCCTCTTTAAAACTTCTCTCTGTTCAATTTTAATCCCCCCTTCATCGTTAGACCTTCCTGTTCTTCTCTCGTCTGTTACCCCTCTCTATAGCTTTCATTTATTCTAACATTCGTCCCACATTCTCATACATACACTCTCACTAAATTTTATTTTTTATTCCCGGAGTTGTTTTTTCTGTTTTCTTTTTGAACTTGTAGGTCTGATGAATTGGATCGTATTTATGATTCCAATGGAATAAATTATGACCATGGAATATTAGTGTTTAAGCCTTTTTATTATATTTTAATATGACACATTTACACTCTTATCTATGTTTGTGTTGCTATGCATGGCTATAAGTGCCAACTAACACATCGTGTATATTCATGTATTGCACAAAATGAGATAGTGTAGCTCGTTTTATGGAAGACAATAAACTACAAAAAAGATGCGGTAAAATATTTACATGAACCAATCTACAGTTCATTTTATATAAACAGCCAAGCTATATTAATTTTACTGTTTGCAATAATTGCCTGATGACATTAGAAACAACGTCCATTCATGTCTCTGCAGGCAAAGAATTGTTTATTTGGAAGCACTCTATACCAAAATAGGAGTTGGATTCTGCAATCTTACAAAGATCTACAAGTCTGAAAGTATTATACGAATATATTTAAAAAAAAGGTTCTGTAACCTTTTTTTAAATGTTTAAGTATCATGATTGCAAGATATTTATAAGAATTTATACCAGTAATGTCTGATGAATAGCTCATTTTTATATTAAATATTTAGAAAAAAATCAATAGATGTTAAATGTGGTAATACAAATTTGAATTTCAAATATACATTTTTATATAAAGAACAAATATGAAATAGAGAATCGATCTCAATGTCATATATTAAATGAATAAAAACGTTAATGAGTTTTTTTTTCTCCATTTAATTTGATGACAAGGGAAAAATGTATATGATATAACGTTTTATATTTCAGTGTGTCAACAATAATAGGAAATATATATATTCTCTTTTAGGACAATATTACACGTTAACGATGGAAAATATCAGCAAAGAACAGTTAAGCAAAAACCTGACAGTCACGGTAAGTTGACAATTTTTTGCCAACAGACATTTTTACATCATTTATTGATATTCTTAATAAAATATAATAGTGTGTTTGATGTGTTTTATTGAATTTCACTCTTCTATTGTTTTGCAGTCGCTGATTATGGTTAAATTCCGAGAGCCAATGAGTTTAGAGAAAAACCTTATAGCGTGGGAATTATGGAGTGATCGACAACACAGTACTAAGACTCGTATACTCGACATCGGTCAGTTAGGATTTGTTATTTAAACCCTCTCTTATATAGGAATTCTCTTATTTATCCCTTTAAAAATACACAAATATAGTGGTGATTTGTGACAAATGAGAAATTATTTAGATTCACAATTGTCATATTTGTTTTGTGACTATCAAAGAATTCGTAAGTACACTTACGAATTATGATGCAAAATGTAAAAAAGTGAATTGGGCTGATGATATATAGTAACAGAAATATTGAATAAATTACCTGTGATTCGATTTTTTTAGTAGTTCACTCGATCTAAGAAATGATCTCTAAGGAAATTAAGACAGAATGAAAAAAATAGCAGTAAAAATTGCATGTAGACGTGTCAACAAAGATTTAATGTAACGGAGAATAGCTTGATTTCATTAGGATTTAATTCTTTGTCACCGAGAAAACAAAACTTTATGCGTGAAATTGGTAAGTATATTCAACATAACCTGATATATTTTTCAAGACATAACATAGATAAGTGTAATTAAATGAAATCCGCCTAATTGGAATCATTTTATATTCTAATATTTTAACTATACATTTTCCAAAGAAAATTAAAAAAGCAAACAAATTGAACATACAGCAAATATATAATTTACTAGCAGTAGAGCTCGGCGTTGCCCGGGGATGTAACAGTAAGAGATAGATCAAGTATCGACCATCATAAAGACTGAAAAATAAAATTGACAATGATTATTGTTTAAGGTTGACGGACACGCATGTCTTAATTAGTTTTTTTTTTTTTTTTTTTTACGAATTGGTCAAACTCAAACTCAAACAAAAACATTGTTTTCAATCGTTATGAGACTACCGATTGAATAGAATTTTATTATAAACAATTGTCTTGTAAATGGAATTTTTAAAGCATTCTGAATGTAAAAATAAATAAAAAAAGTATGCAAGACAAAAAGAAAAACTACCTACCAAAAAAAAAGTGAAGTTTTGTTGAAATCGGTTGAAAAATGTAGGAAATCCGATCCCATATATAAACGAACACACACACACACACACACACACAACCTGGGTTTTATAATAAGTATAACTCGATATGAGTTGTCCCCCTTTCATTCTGGTGACAGAATCGTGTTTTAAGTGTTTTCAAATTGATTTCATGCAAAAACAATTGTGCTTTTTCCAATTTTTGGCGCTGTCAGAACCACCGCAAGGTAATTTTACGCAGTCCTGTGAAGTTTTGTTGAAATCGGTTGAAAAATGTAGGAAATCCGATCCAATATATAAATATACAGACACACACACACAGACACACACACACACACACACACACACACACAATCTGCGTTTTATAATAAGTAAGATTAAAATAGTAATATTGTAGCAGCTAATGTCAATGATTGTAAAAAATAAATCTTAAAACATACAATTAAAACAATTATCCATAAAGAACATATTCCTTCAATACTGCAGCATACTGTCTCTGTACATGTTGAAAAGGTGCATAGTATTTATCAATCAATGATACAGCCAATAACATGTTTGGGAAAACCCATCAACTGGATGAATCACCACGAGTTCTTTAGTTCCGGACAATGACAATGGCCAATATGATTCGCTTGGTAGAAATAGAGCGTATTGACCTGGCAGTTTACAAAATCGAAAATGAGTTTTAGAAATAACTGAAATTTTGTGGTACTTTTAAAAAATCAGCCTGTTTTACGTTTGAAATTCTTTTAGGGTTTCCTTATATCCCTTTTTTATTTGAACTCTTGAATCGCACTGGTCGACATCTACAGCTTAATTCAGTAAATCAGTGAGTTATAACTAAAAATGAGTTACCATCTAAAATATAAAGACTAATTTATAACTTCATTTAATTAACATTAATTTATTAAATTTTCTTGTTTAATTTAATTTTAATTTTCTCAGGAAAAAATACAGTCTACAGACTTGGAAAAATGAATTGATGAATTTGCTTATTATAATGGATTCTTTTACATTACATTTAGCATTTTCTGTTTTGTTTTATTTGTTTGTTTTTTCACATATCTTTTTTTACAAATTTATAAAATTATGTGTATAATTATTTTTAATTTTTTTCAGACACAAAAAATGGTCAGGGAATTCTCTCAAATTCTATAGAAGAGTTATCTCATAATGCGGTATCTGTAAAATGGAAGCCTTGCGATGTACCGGCAACAGTAAGTTTTTTACTATTTATGATTGCTGTTAAGCGCACAATCACAGCAACATTTAACGTGCATGCGCCGAAAACCCTATCGGCTGTTTGTAATTATTTGAGCGCCTTTTTTGAAAATTAGAGACTGAATATGCAAATAGAAAACTATTTCTTAATATAGTTTCATGCTGTGTATGGAAGCTTTTAAAAACAATATTTTGGTTGATACATAAATCCTAATCATTATTAAGAAATTATATAAATTCTTTATCGATATGTAATTTCTGAGGCAAACATTTATACATTCATTAAACAAATTTAATATTATGTCCCTTCATGATGTAGGCGATCATGACTCAAAAAAATATTTCTTTATTATCTTCAAACTGACATTCATTCTTACGAAAAATAGAGTGGTTTCCCGTTGTCTTCTCCATGTTTTGGAATTCACCTGAGTCTGTCTTTAATAGCTTCTGTATTTAATCCATAGCTGGTGGGTGGATGAAAAAGAGGGCGATTCATGCATTTCTCAAAGACATTATTGCGAAAGAGAATGCAACAGATTAACCCTAAATTTGAAATTGCTCCACTGACTACACTTTCCCCAACTATATCCGTCATACTACCCTCACATCCTATATTAGATAACATATTTAATTCAAAATAAAATATACTTCTAGTGTGAATGAAAATTATGAATTGACTATCTGCTTCAAAATGTAACAATTGTCAATTATTAAATTACATTCCATCAAAACGAATGCGATTTTTTTTTCAGAAATGGAAGCAAATGTACACTACAGTTATATTTTAAAAGTTGCCAAAAATCAGGGAATTTTCCGATTTAAATGAAAAATTCAGAAATTATTTATTAATGAGTAAATTTTATAGGGAATTCATTATTTCATAGATTTTTGGTTAATTACTCAGCCCATGTCGATACATTATGACTACTTAAATATTGGTGATTTTTTTCATAGTTTAATAAAGAAAATCTGTGGAAAAATATTATTTCAGTAAATAACGTTTTGTAATATAAACTGAGATAATTTTTTTAAATTTGTCATGAACTTCACAAAAATAATTCAATAAAACTCAAAATATTTTGAAGAGTGCTTGTAAAATTTAATAAAATATTTTTTTCATTTTACAAGGAAAAACTCTACAATCAATATTTATTTTTGGAATATTTACTTGTAATTTCTCAGTGCGATTTTGAAATTATTCCAGTTAATGATGACAAAAGATCGTTTTTTTATTAAATAAAGATGCTACATACCTATTGATATAAGGCTAAAAAAAAATAATTATACATGATATTTAGATGTGTCTAGAATTTTTTTATAACATTGGTAACTGAAAGAAACAAAGTGAAGGGAATCAATTAAAAATATCAATTCAATAAACCTGCATCAATTTTACTCTGTATATATAGGGCATTTTAAAAATAAATTTTCTCAAAATAGTTAAAAAGACCTTATTTGATGCAATGAAATATCATATGACATTAAATAGTTAAACAAAAATAAATACAAAATAAGTATCAAATAGTAAAAATCGTATTATTTTTAAAAACACATTAAAATGTATTTTGGATTAAACTTTGAGCGTAAAGTAATATTGTTCAAGAATTCTTTTAATTAACCCTTAGTTTTATTCATCTTCTTTGAAACACAAGGAGATATATTTGATTTTTAAGAGATTTTTAAAATGCCCTAAATTATTTTCATTATTTTTCAATTAAAATCGCGGATCAATGATAAATTGACCGTATGAAATTTTAAACCCTTATTGAAATACGTAAAATTATTTTCTTCTTTTTTTTATTTTTTAGGTTATTTTTCAAATAAAATCAAAATTTTACTAAAAGAGAGACGTTTAAATTATTTTAAATGTTTTTAAGATCAAATTGATCTTACTTTAAAATCCAATCTTACTTTAACTGAAATTACGTGATTTCTTTCAGTAGAAGTGGAAAAATGAAAGAAATGTAAAATATTGAATAATAATATTTAATCCGTTCACACACATTAGTAAATATACTAAATTTCCTTTTTTGATTTCTATTTTTTAGAAATTCTTTTCTCCTGATTTACCGGTATTTTTCGATGTGAATTCTTTACAAATTTCCTATTTTTTTAATGATATATTTGTATCTTTTTAGGTAAATATTGCTATAAATTGCCTAAGTACAGATTTCAGTAACCAGAAGGGGGTAAAGGTAAGTTAACAATTTGAAATAATTTGATGACGAGGTGAAATATTTTAGTCATGAGATGAAATTCACTCAAATAGAATACTAGGAATGTTGAAAAATTCTCCGAACATTTCAATTTCCAAAACCAAATGAACAAGCCACATAATATTTTAAAATTTGAAATCTCTTATTGGTCGGTCTGAAGACTTTTCATTGCTATTTCGTAATTTCTATTTCTTTCTTTTTCAGGGTATACCGTTGCATATTCAAGTGGACACATATGTAGGGGAAGATAGGTACCCAGTACACAGAGGCTACTGCCAGGTTAAAATATTTTGTGACAAGGTAAGAAAATGCAATAATCACACACACGCGAGCGCGCATGCGCATGTATAATACTGTTTAAAGTGTGATATATTTGTGTGAGAAGAGTTGTAAAGAAGTTGAGCATCTTCATTGCACGTGATGTGTGGCAAGGAGCAACGTCATTGCACGTGATGTGTGGCAAGGAGCAACGTCATGCTGAAGAATCTTTTCATCTTAGTAGTCTGGTAGAAGATTAAACCGTTTTTTTTTTGTTTTTTTTTTTTTTTTTGCTGTTTAGGTTCCCATAAACTTTTACCAATTTTCTCCGATCATCGCTTTTCATGCAATCCCACACCATTACGTGTTCACCACCTTTTACCATCTTTATAGTGTAACTTGCATTGTTTCTTCTTCATTGGTCTTTTTACATATTCTATTGCATTAGAATGTAACTATTTTGCATTTATCACTAAAAATGTTTCCAATATCCCACGTTAGATGTTCTTTTGACCACTTCAATCATGTTTCCGATGTTTTTGATTAATGATGCTATTTTTTCTGTTATACGCACGTTCAAGTTGTTTTCCGTAGTACTCTGAGTATAGTATTAACTGAAACCTCACTGTTAAGACAACATTCACTTCTCACTTGTCTGGATGTTAATTTTGGATTGCCTACCGAAGTTCTCACAATTTCTCTTTCATCTCTTTTGTCTGACTTTGTAGACTTCCCTTCCGGTTTTCTTTGCACTTAAAATACTTCCAGTAGCAGCAAACGTAATTTGGATGGTTTGAACACTCTCTGGAAATCTCCAACTGCTTATCTCTGGCTGAGTCATCTTCCCATTCAAAGTCACAACCTTCATCTTTTTTTTTCAGCAGAAATTTTAGCCATATAATAAGGTTCACTTACAATGAATGTAAAAAACTACAATGGCTTGTCAAGGCAGCTTACACTCATGTTAATAAGCTGAAACTTAGAAATTTTCATATTCTCATCTTTGATCTTTTATTGGCCCAATAGCGTGGACTTCTTGCAATGAAAATAGTATAGACTTTATTTTCAGCTGCTTAAAACGGCATGTCTTCCGTTACACGGCACCTACGAAAATGTAACAACTCATTTTCCAATCTTTAAGGTCCACGGACATTAATGACCAAAGCATACTGCTAAACAATTTTAACTTCTTAATAAAAATAAAGTCCACTTTAAAGGGATTTGCTATCTACGAATCGCTGTGATTAACTTGTCTTTTGATTTCTATGCCAAATTCGAAGCTGTCATGCCAATGCTCTTGATACGCCTGAAAGTGAAAGGGGAATGCTAAAATTTAGCGCATGTCTTATATCAATAGGCTCGGCCACCTTCCATGTTTTCAATAGTATGAACTCTGTCTGCCAGTCTCTCTGATGCCTGTATATATATATATATATATATATATATATGTGTGTGTGTGTGTGTGTGTGTGTGTGTGCGTGCGCTATATTAGAACAGCCAGCATTAATTTCCAACGAATATACTATTTTAGATACAATATGTTTTCTCTCTTGACGAAAAATAAAATATGTTACCAATATATGATTTGCTAAATATGTATATTGAAATTAACAAAAAAAAAAAAATTTACAGAAAATATTCCGTAAATTTGTCATACATATATAATACACGCACCATCCTCCTAAATCTTCTAAAATTCTAGCGATGGTCATGCAACTGCTCAAATTTGACATGAATACAGACATATTTAAAAATTGCTTATTCAAATTACGTCTCTTAAATATCTTGACAGATTCTAATAAATTTGGGGTAGGATTATTTAAAACACTATTTTTGTTTATAGACTTGAAAATAATGGAACATTTATACGCATTGAATATGAGGTATATGCATGCATCTAAATGAGTTACAAGAGATATAACGAATATACCATTTTAGATACAATATGTTTTCTCTCTTGACGAAAAATAAAATATGTTACCAATATATGATTTGCTAAATATGTATATTGAAATTAACAAAAAAAAAAACTTTACAGAAAATATTCCGTAAATTTGTCATACATATATTTTAATATCCATTTATTTTAGCTCTTTGAATTAATTTTGATCACAGTTTAATATTTTCACCTTTCAGGGGGCAGAACGAAAGACTCGTGATGAAGAACGACGAAGAACAGCCAAAGTGAAAGGAGAGAATAATTCCTCTCCTGAAAGTTCCCCTTCTCTAGATGGTCAGTTGAGTCCATTTTCTTTATTCTTTTTTTCCATTCACTACTGGAAATTAATTCTCATCACACTTTGAATACATTTGTTCAAAACTCATTTGCTTTCTTATGAAAGAAATATTAACCTTTCCTCATAATATGACTATACATAGCTTTTATTACTTTTAATATTATGCATCTGTTTCTTGTATCAACAAATGCATAATATAAAAAAGGAAATAGTATATATTTATATTAAAACTTTTGAAACAGACTGCAATCAAGATGATGATGACAGCAAGTATATTTCACACAAGGTAAAACTGACAGCCTGTTCAACTTGAAGAGACTCTCGACCTAAACCGAGAAACATTTGTTAATGAATTGCGTCTCTAGTTCCGCACGCAGTGGCGACCCTTTTAGCAGAAACTATTTGACTTAGAAGCAAGCTTGAAGAAGACATTTATTACCCTACATATCGACTTGTAGCTTCTCCATCGGGTCGAAAAGAAAGTGGAAACAGTTAAGGACTTTATTTTACGTCATATCATCAGATATCAAATTGAACGACGATATAAACAATATGTCAAAGTATTTGGCAGACTGTAGAGTTTAAACGAGAATAGCCCTAGGAAAGACACTAAAATAAAACCATTGTGTTGTCAACTTTTCTTTATGGAACCAAATTCTGGGACATATTTAAGTACCATCTACGCCTCCGCGAACGCTTCCATCAGTTTTTTTCTCCTCCTCACTTTTAATGTGCACTGGAGTGACTTTATCACAAACACCGAAATCATCAAGGCAAGCAACACCACAACAAGAATTAAAACTCTTTCGTAAAAGACATATTGTGATGGTAGACCAAATGGTGAGTTGCTGTGTGGATCTAGTCGACTACCCAAGGACATGTAATACACGCATCATCCTCCTAAATCTTATAAAATTCTAACGATGGTCATGCAACTGCTCAAATTTGACATGAATACAGACATTTTTAAAAATTGCTTATTCAAATTACGTCTCTTAAATATCTTGACAGATTCTAATAAATTTGAGGTAGGGTTATTTAAAAAACTATTTTTGTTTATAGACTTGAAAATAATGGAACATTTAATTTTGATTTTTTCACATTGTCAATGAAGTTGGTACAAGCTACAATAATCAAGAAGAAATGAAGGGATGAACTGTAAATATACAAAATTGGATAAAATAAGTGTTCTGTATTAATGCATTCTGATATGAAATTTAATAAACAGAAAGAAATTATTGCTTTAAAATTAATCACTTATTAGTTTCAAGCTTATGCTGTCTTCATTATTTTGTCATGACATCGTTCGATTACTGCAACGCTTTCTAGTTTTCTTTTAACTAATTTTGTGGGAGAAAAAAAAACTATGATAATGTGAATTGTGACGGTAGAGCTAGTTTCAAAAATTTTTAAATCAAACCGTAATAATTGCACTATCCAATGAAATATTCCCTCCTTTAGATCACAAAGTGTGCAAAAATGCTTTCTCATTATAATTACCTGAATGAAAATAAAATTCAAGACATTCGAATACTGGGATATTTTGTGATTTTATAATTATGCATTTTATCCCAAGTGGTCAAGTAAAAATTTAAAAAAAAACCGTAGATGTACATTTTTGCTTGAATAAGAAAAATACTTAGTAGATAAGGTATATATGTTTTATCTAAAGTAATTTACCAAAAATTATTTGCAGCAAAATAACAAAATGCAGGTTTCCTGCTTCGGCAAGTGCAATTTTGTTACCTTCGTTTTGCTTATCTCGTTTAGCAAGTGATGTCTTGACCTGAAACAAAAGTGAACGAGTCAGGTACAACCTTTAAGTCATTGTTGGGTATCCATTTGCTTCTTTCTGATGCGTGTGTTTTGCTTGTTGGTCATTTTAGGTCGTAAGAGAGTTGAAGAAATTTATCACCCGGCAAATGAACGATCAGACTTCTATTGCATGAAAGATCTTACCTCAGAGCCACAACTATTCAATCCACTCGGTGATATTGAAGATTACAGGGTATGCATGACAAACCTGGAGTAAAAATCTATATAATACTTTTTATAATGACTTTCTTTCTTTCTTTCTTTCTTTCTTTCTTTCTTTCTTTTACTTCATTGTCTTTGTTGGCCTTTTCAATTTTTGTCCATTTTTGTCAAAATATCTGACTCCTTGTGACATAAAGTCAATTGCATTAATCTCCTTTCTTGTTCGTTCATATGCATTCTTTTACATTGATTGATAAAACTATACTTAGTTATGGGCATGCATATACAAATGTGTATATATAATTTTGTAGGCATATACTTATGCGTATATAATTAAACATTTGTAATATATAAACCTATCGATGATTTTCATTATATTTTATAATCATTGAACTGAAAACGAGAAGTCATATAATAAAACTATTTCGACTCATAATTTATATTGTGAACACAAAATGAAAACGATATTTAATTTTATTTTCATTATATATCTGAATATATCAACCAATCCTAATTAAAAGAAAATGCAACAATCCATAAAAGTAAGTCAAACATTTAACATGCCAATGAGTTTTTCTTTTTCATTGCACATTTCAAGTATTTTCATTTTCATTTATATTTAAATATAAATATTGATAGTAGTTTTGTAATTTGAAATATTCGTTTGTTATGATTTGTTAGTATTAGCAGAATTAAGCTTCCTATATGTTTGTAAATATCTCTTAACTGTCTAATATTATTTCCCTTTTAGCATGGTATTGTTCACTACTCGTTGCCAGAAGACGATCGTGCTATGTAAGTGTATTGTTTTGTACTGACAAATATAAATATAGATTTAAATTATTATTTGCCTAGAATTATACGAATATGACTTTCTAAACATGTGTCTGCGTTTCGTCTTAACAGAGAGGACAGCACAAGCAACATTTTAACTATTACTTACAATTATTATCCAGTTGCTTTTTTTTTTTGCTGTACATGTTTGAACGAAATACGCGAACATTTTATAGGTCGGTAATCAGCTGCGAATTAACGATTTCATGATCCAAGAAGCAAACAAAAAAACAATTACCCCCACTGCTCAAAATTGATATACATATTTTCAATCATGCCAGGGGCCAGCATTCAGTTTGTAATATATGTCGGTTACGTTTGGTGTTGCTCGGCAGTGTGTGACGCTTGTCCAATTAAATAGCAACAGTGAGTTTATAAATTATTTCTATTGCTTCGAAGATTTATTTAATATACATCGAAAAATATGATAATTAAACTACATCAGTAACGAAATATATGTATTTAATAAATGGGCAGTTTTTGATCTTAAAAATGTATGTGGTAAATAGTTGACTTGCCTAACGAGTTCGATCTCAACTAAAATGGCGTTGCAAATTAGAATAAAAATGATTGCCAGAAAATTTGGTTAGTATGACTTTAAACCAAAAAGTAAGTTAAATAGTTCAAATTTAATTTTGCTTTAATTAAATTATTCATTTTAGAACTATCAGCATAATATATAATGACTTAGGTACTGCAAAGTATTTGTATCCAAGTAAGGGATGTATTTAGGTGTTTTTGTTTTTAAACAGAAATCAAACAATCAACGTTTCACGTGTGAAATAAAAAAATAATAATAATCCTTATTAAATTATAAAAAATAACGCACAGAACGTATGTGAAAGTATTGTATTTAAGATTTACTCAAAGGCATTTATAATATTTCTAACAACACGGTCTAAATACTAGATTTCATAAATAAATGCTTTGCAGCAAAGTTTTAATGGTTTCTCTAAGGATATGTTAACTTGGTATATAAGTTGAGTTCTCAAATTTCATTCTTTTTCATTTTATTTACAAGTGTTTGACAGGTTGCAAATCAACACTAATCATTGTAGTATTTTGAAACTTGAAATACGTTTATACCAAAAAAGGTCGTCACTCCTGAAATTTACGCGGGTAATTGCTCAAGAGGTGAAAATCTTCAAAATGCCTTCTCTTATAGCAAATGAAATACTAAAAAAAGAAAAGTATTTGTTTTTTGATTTTTTTAAAAATTTGCTGGATGAGAAGTTGCACACGAAGACAGGAGAAACAGGAGAAAATGAAACATCAAATAATATTCTTTCTTACCATTTGATTTTGCATGAAATAAATACTCTCTACTCTAGTACTGACCTTAGTGTTTTATATATATATATATATATATATATATATATATATATATATATATATGAATGAAGCATCTTCAGAAGTTCAAACTCTCCTCCGGTCCCAAACTTTCTTGAGTTGTCGTTATGGAAAAGTATACCTTTCTAGTTCGCAAGGCCAAATCATATATATATATATATATATATATATATATATATATTAAGAAATGGATTAAAGTCCGACAATTTATTTATTAAAGACATTTTTATGTTTAACGTTCTTTTTATAAAATGTCTTTTAATAAATAAATTGTCGGACTTGTCCATTTCAATATATGACGTCATTTGTTTACATTTGATACGCCAGAGCAGTTATGAATGTACGAGATTCATGGAAGATTGAAGTTTATAAGCAGTAAATTCGACCTTGCCTACCGAACGCTCCTTTGTGGCCGAGACGGTAAGGCACGTCAGCGTAAATGACGGTTCCGTATAGGATGCAGGATCGAATCCTGTCAAAGGACGAATATTTTCTATGAAAATTTCTCGGACATTCAGGCCGGTAAATGTTATTTAATACTGTTTATTATAAACAGCATTTACTTAAATACTTGTATCTATAAAAAAGAACGTTAAACATAAAAATGTCTTTTATAAATATATATATATATATATATAGGTAACTATACTCGTTTCGAAAAACCTTCGAATTTTTGATTTGCTAATAATCAAATCAATCTCGAAGGAAAAAAGGTTTTAAAAAAACAAAGAGCTAGAAACATGAAAGTCTGTCGTAAAAAATCGCACAGATCCAGGTTCAAAGCCCAAAGAAAAAAAACCGATACGAGTAAACAACTAACTAACGAAAGAGCTCAATACAACCGTAGAGCAGACCTAGATACACCTAGTGAGCCAGACAAACCTACCTAGGTGTCACCTAAACGGATCGTCAGGGAAAGTAAGGCCTTCACTAGGTGTGTATATATATATATATATATATATAGATAGATAGATAGATAGAAACGGATCGTCAGGGAAAGCTGGAAACCTGGGTAGGTTTGTCACTAGTTTTATCTATCTATCTATCTATCTATCTATCTATCTATCTATCTATCTATCTCTCTCTCTCTCTCTATATATATATATATATATATATATATCTTCGACTGTCACAACAACTAATTGGAAACTCCATAATATTTTCTTGTGTGCTTCATAAAGTTTTGAATCCATGCGCACATGTTCACACGCGAGTATATGTGGAGGACGAATATGTATACGCCTATTGGCAAAAACAATAGACTGTTCACAGGCACGCGCGTAAACACTACACAACAAAAGGAAGTGTGTGTATGTGTATATATATATATATGTATGCATATATGTGTGTGTATGTGTGTATACTAATTCCTTATAATAAGATAGTATGTATGTACAGAGAGGGAGTGTGCATGTACTTGTGCGTAGTGGTATATATATGCACATATTGACAAAAACAAAACTGCTCACGGGCAGGCACGAGAACCCAACACAGCATAGGAAGTGTGTGTGTTTGTGTGTATGTGTTTGCATGTATATGTGTGTGCGTGTGTGTATATGTGTATGTATGTATGTATGTACATATGTGTATACTAATTCCTTATAATAAGACTATGTATGTATGGAGAGGGAATTTACGTATGCGTACGCATGGTGACAACTACACAAAAATGGAAATAGATCTAAGAACACACTGGGGTCATTAAAGGATAAGAATACAGATATCTTTCTCGCCCTTTCTCGGACCAGTCTTAATTGTTTTATTACCTTTTATGCAGATTTTTTTCACTGCCAGTTCAAGGAAGACATTTGGGTCATTAACACACAAAAAAGAGAATGTCTAATATCGAGAATATTTAACATCGAAAAACATAAATTAATTCCTTTTAATAATATGTGGGAATATCCACTCATTGCCTGATGAAGGTCGCGAGACCGGAAACGAGTGTAGCAAAATTATGGAAAATAAAGCATAATATATTTTTTTAAAAATCCACATTACAACCAAAAACGTTTGCGGTTTCTCTCTTCGTTTTAATATATATATATATATATATATAAGTTCGCAGGTATGCAGAAAATAGAAAAGTACACGTTGGGTGCATAATCCGGAGTTCCTTAGTATTTTTGTTTTTATTTTTAAGAAGACAGTGCTCCATACAGAAGTAGAGCTTATATTATAATATTTTTTTTGGTTAAAAATATGATTCCTTCGCTACATAAGAGTTCTCATGTTTCAAAAAAAGAGCCGAAACCATCCAAATAATTATTAAAATTAAGTTGAATTGAGGTGTTTAGTCCCGTTTCATCTTCAAACGAAATATATATATATATATATATATATATATATATATATAATATATTTGGTTGGATTGATGTGAGTTTGTGACCCTGGGTTTCACGCTTTAGCGATCGTCAGACAAACGCATGAAACCCAAGGTCACAAACTCACATCAATCCAACCAAATATAAGTTAGCTCTATCTCTGATATTGAGCGCTTTCTAATAAGTACCGCGCATATAATATATAAATAATTATATATATATATATATATATATATATATATATATATATATACACACACACACACACACACACACACACACACACATATATATATATATATATATATATATATATATATATATATATATATATATGTATAAATTCTTATATATTAAGAACAATACTGGATACTGGAGGAAATGATATATGACAAAGTGGAAAATGATTCTATGCGACACATTTTGTCCCTTAGACCTTCATCTGACAAGGTTTGTTTATGTTGATGGAGATGCACACGAACGAAAGACGCTTTTAAATTTAAAAAAAAACATTCTTTTAGATTTATGGGTGGTATATAATCTATCCAATTTCATTTAGATTCTTTTTCTTTTTTTTCCATAACATTTGCTATTAAATATCTTACAACGTGATAACAGAAAATCTACCAAGAATCGTGAAACGTTATAAAAACCTGAACGTAAATTTACTGTGAATGAACTAGCGACTAAAGTACTTTCTAAACATTTCGTCTTGGTGAATTATTTTCACTTTTAATTAGAGTCGCATTTTTATGTCATAATTGTGGTCAATCTCATTATAATGAGCAACTAATGTGTTTAATGTGTTGTTTTGTAAAAGATCCCTTTTGTGTTCATATAATCTTTTATTTAAACTTCTTGAGATTCCGCTAATATATTATTTCTGTCAATCCTTGAGATGATAGAGTAAATTCCTTCTTCAAATTTTGGCTTGTTCTGTTTTGTGTGCGCACTCGCGCGTGTGTGTGTGTGTGTTCCTCATTTCTATCACATGTCTTAGTAGTAAAAAGGTGGGTTCCTTTGAATTATTTTATTGTTTTTAAAGAATTTTATTTTATAGTTTGACTTTGTGTTAATGCTGACCTAAGCTGCAATTAAACAGATTAGGGCCTATAATTGACGACACATATATTTTATAATCTATAATTTATACACGTGAATAGTTTTTGCTTGATTGTAGAGAAAAATTGCTTTGTACATTTTATTATGCCATATTTTTCGTTTTTATTTGTAGAAACACAAATAACAATAATACAAACAGTAATGTGGATCCAAACAGCGATTCGTGCTATCCACCAGCAAAAGTGCCGAGACGAAATAACTTCCTTTACTGTATGACATATCAAAAAGGTAACATTCTCTGATTTTGAGATATTTACTTTCAAAGGAAATGACTGTACATAAATAAATCAATAGCTGTTTTAAGACCGTTAATATATTATTACTCCACTTCATGCCATTGGAAAACGAGAGATCAAGAAGGAGCAAGGAGTTGCTCACATGGACATTAGCTGATGGAAGGCAGAAATGTTTTTATACGATGAATAAATAAAATCAGTTGTTTTTAGAAGGCGTTAGAATTTTCAAGCCATTCCTTGCCCCAGTTAATCATTGATTGAGGTCACTTTCGAGAAGAGCTATCAGTCTTAATTTGCTGAGACTATCGGACACGCCATTACGAGTAAAGAGTTGTGTCATCAGCATAAGTACCTAGTTGAAAACTAATGAGATTGTTGATGTAGATAATAAGCAACGTAGAATCACGGATATAGCTCCACTGGAGCTACGCATTGATGTAAAATGATATACATGTGTGTCCGTTTAATACGACCTTCATTACACAATTTACTAAGAATGATTGAATTAAACAAAATATTCGTTGAAAGATGTTGGGATTTTTGGGTACCCTGGTGTACTAGTGTGCCAGCTAAAATGAGCTGACTAGTTGGAACAGGGAAATAGCTATTCTCCATATTCCCGGCTTGTGCGGAATATTTATTAAATTCCTGTCCAGCTCACGTGCGTTATTTGGATAATATATTTTTAAGAAGCTATGGACAACTGTTTTATTCTTTAAAATTTGAGATATATATTGTAGACATTATGTTATATTATTATGTTTTAATGATAAACCGTTTTATTTTATAAAATATGAAACTTCTTATATGAATATTTAATGAGCAGTGAGTAACAGTTTATTCTCTTTTCTCTCAACTTACCATAAGATTATCTTTTTTTTCTTGAACAAGCCCTGACAAAAAAAGGTCCAATAGAAATGTTCATTCCGTATTGTTTTTAAACAAATTACACCAAACAATGTTTGCTTAATCGCCGAAAATTCTGGCTTGATAAAATATACTCAAACAAATTCGATAAGATTATTTAAATTAATGGCATATTTTTCCAGAGCATAGAATCATCATCAACAACAAAATCACAATTAGTACGCCTTATTTCCCCTTAGGCGTTTATGAGGGATGGACTTCCCAAATAATATATCTGTATTTTCCATCAAAATATTTCCAGCTTTTTTCAAGTAGTGGCTGACAAATTAGCTTTGTAGGTTAGAGCATTGTCAGAGACCCATTAAAAATATCCATAAATGTTCAATCAGATTGAGATCTGGATTGTTTGATGGCCATGTCACTGAGTTGATAAGGCTTTCCTGAAGATAAACTTTACTTATACGTTTTACTCTGTGGTAATCATCCGGAAAAATGACTGCATCACCTCCAAACGTATTTTTATCAATGTAACGATAAAGTACCCAACATGTACACCTGTATATTGACTATTGAGGAAATGATTGCAATATACCCAGTATTTTTGTAAGCGTACGTAAGATTGGCAATCTTACGTTCGATTAACTCCATGTGGTTGAGGTAGCAAGAAGGAAAGATCATTACAAGAATTTCCATGTGAATATTTATAGAAATGACATAGGGAGGCCTCATCATGGCGGTGGGAAAGTGACTGAAATCGAGATGTCAAGTTGGGATTGATTATATTACATACCTTTCTTTGGATTTTGTCAAGAATCTCGGATATATAGTAGAAACACCAAATCAGATATAGCAGCAATATTCAATGCACGGACGAATAGTAGGTTTATAAATGTGCAAGATGGATTTTGATAAGAAAAACTGTCTGCCACGAGACAGTGAAACAATTTTCATGATAGTAAACCTAGCAATTGATTCGGCATAATCACTCCACTTCATGCCATTGGAAAACGAGAGATCAAGAAGGAGCAAGGAGTTGCTCACATGGACATTAGCTGATGGAAGGCAGAAATGTTTTTATACGATGATTAAATAAAATCAGTTGTTTTTAGAAGGCGTTAGAATTTTCAAGCCATTCCTTGCCCCAGTTAATCATTGATTGAGGTCACTTTCGAGAAGAGCTATCAGTCTTAATTTGCTGAGACTATCGGACATGTCATTACGAGTAAAGAGTTGTGTCATCAGCATAGGTACCTAGTTGAAAACTAATGAGATTGTTGATGTAGATAATAAGCAACGTAGGATCACGGATATAGCTCCACTGGACCTATGCATTGATGTAAAATTATATACATGTGTGTCCGTTCAATACGGCCTTCATTACACAATTTACTAAGAATGATTGAATTAAACAAAATATTCGTTGAAAGATGTTGGGATTTTTGGGTACCCTGGTGTACTAGTGTGCCAGCTAAAATGAGCTGACTCATTTTATAGTTCACCAATCAGAAGGCTCAAAATATTCAATGCGACGTGTATAAAGGCGGCCATGTTTTTCTCGAATATGCACTGCCAGCCTTTGATATCGAAGACTGAAGAATTACGGAACAGCTGCTGGTGGTATTGGCGATATAGTCAGATTCAGTAGAGTGTCTGACTCGTGAGTGTTAATCTTTAACGTTGTTTCATTGAACAGATTACGTACTGCGCTGTATTCTATATTCATAGACTATGGTGAACATGGTCAACAAAAGATACCATAGTCCTTCAGCTTACGAAGAAGGCCAGCATGTCAGAAACCTGTCGAAAGCCTTCCAGATATTTAAAGTTACATCCCAAGCCTCGGTGTTCTTATCTAAAGTCTGATAGACACATTCAGCAGTAACTGCAATAATCATCATATTATTATATTGTTTATCCGAAAGAAGGCCGTGTGAAGTGAGATGTTTAACCAATTCGGCGTTGAGTAGAGCCTCTTGTAGAGTTTCTTGCCAAGAAGAGGTAAAAACAAATAGGGCGATAGTTCGCGGGATCAAAAGAGTACAGACAGGAACTACAGAAGAGATTTTCCAACAAGCTGGAAAGTAAGAAGCAGCGAAGCATTTATCGTAGAGATTGGAAAGAACAGTATTTAGTTCAGGAGCACATTTCCTTAGCTCATTTGCAGCAACATTTTGTGAAGAGATGATAGCAGAAACCATGGACGATGATAATCCTGATGTTGAAAGTGAATTTAGAAATGAATTTCCAAGCAGCATATTCTGTTTTATCTGCAGTAAATGGCAACACTTCAAACTGATTGAAGGGAGTACAGACTGAAGATTTCCACTTGTTCAACACACCCTTATAAGAATGCCAGCAATCTCTAGAACCAAACATATGAGAGACTATACGTTGTCTCATTCTATCAACAAATAACGACTTTGCCTCTTTAAGGACACGCTTACGATAATTATGTGCGGATACAAAAGGCGCATGTTATAATCGAACCTGTCGCATTGGTATTGCTGGAAGAAGTGATGCCTGTGGGCTACAGCGACTTAACACGCTTGAAGTGAGCCAAAGAGAAGAGTGTGGTTTCATATTTCCCTGCTGGCACGAAAGCATCGATGCTGCTTTTCACCCAGTTGGAGACATCAGTGGCACATTTCTCAAAAGGACGATTAAAAATATCATTCCAAAGGTAGTCACAAAGAAAATAACGAAAAGGTCCCAATCAATTAGAAATATGTATAGGAGTTATCTTGACTAGTAGGTGAGCGAAAAGAAATATCTACAAAAAGTACCGCGTGGTCGGAGAGGACGGCGATGTAGAGCAAGGCATGAGTCCGAGGGGGGGGTAAGGAACAGTTCAAATAGAGAAGCGTGTCCGTCAGAATCACTAGGGAAACGAGTCAGAAAGTAGGGAGCGAATTGAAAAGTTCTATGTCTCGATACTAGCGAGATTTGTAGCATTAGAGTGATGGAGCCCCTTGACATGGTGAAGTTGCCAAACACAAAGATATTTGCGATTGTAGACGGGAGGGCCTTATCTATACTATCAGAAATTATATCTAGTAAGATCCGAGAGGAATTGGTAACGATAAAGAGATAACTGAATGAGTTTAATAGTAAAATTATAGTTTTATTTATTTATTTTTTAATTTCTCTCTTGACACTTTGAAATCTTCCAGAGTCTCCATATGTATTTTCCTTTTAGAAACTTCTCTTATTTACACCAAATTTTAAACACAGCTGACTGGGAACATTCAATATCTTTTGCCACATTCCGTGTTGGATTGCTTTCTCAAATTAGTTTTATAATTTTGTCATTGTTTCAGTTTATAACTTCTTTTCGGTTTTTGTTGAAATGGCAGAAACATGACTCTTGTCGCCATTCAATTTTAAGTCTAACAGCCCGTCAAATTCTGTAAGAACACTCTTAATTGCATACTATTTTGTATAATTCGACTTTTATTTTACAAATGCAAATTCCATTATTTGTACGACTAATTGATCATGGAAAACATGCTATTCATTCATATAATAGAATCTTATTTGTCTCGGGTATATTTCATCAAGCCATAATATTTAACTATGACTCAAACATTTTGTTTCATAAGCATGATTCTGCTGCGAAACAAAAATCTAGATGAAATCTTCTAAACGGGTTGGCAACAAATTTGTTCCAAAGGTAATATGCACAATAAAATAGCTTGAAGCAGAAGCGATGTAACTAAATTGTTTTTAGCAAATTTTAAGGAATTCTATTAAAGGTGTCGGATTAATTATCAGAAAATAAAGAAAATCGGTGAATACCTTATTAAAGTCTATTTTTATTAAGGTTTTATAGATGTAAGATTTTGATGTGAACTCTTAAGTGTCTATTGTTTAATACTTTTTTTTGTTTTGTCCAGTAATGCTGTACGTTCGTGAACAGACAGAAGAAACATTTACTGCCCTGTTATTAAGAACCCCGACTGTGGAAGGTCTTCTGAGAGCTGTAAGTGCTTTTAATTATGCCTCCTCATTCTTGAATATCTGTAATTCACGAAGTGTTACAGTTAATTATAGAATATATTTCATATAATATAATAACTATTATTATTCTTATGCTCAAATAATAATAATAATAATAATAACGAAGGGCATGTCTCTTTGGGGTTAATACACTGTGCCTCACTCTTCACTAACGGAAGTGGTGTAGTATCATCATGGATGGCTTTCCAGGGTTTCTTTGTTTAAGTTTGAAGTACACTGAGGGACATCTAAGTAGTTAGGAATACCCTCAATCGAAAACTGTCTGAGCAGAATAGGGTTACTCGACTCGAAAGTATTTCTAACTGGGCCCCCATCTGCACTGGTTATGCACTGCTTTTATCAAAACCTTTAGCCATATTGCGCAAATATGTCCTTGATGCTTTTGCTTGGTATATTCTTATTATATGGGTATATTGGGGTTTGTATTTTTGTAATTCAGCGTTATATTTTGGCGTACGACTGCTGATGCTGCTCTCTCTCTCACTTTTCTGCGTCAGTCACACTACAGCCAGAAGTAGAATGATTTGTGTTATCTCTATTAGGAACAGAGTTTAATAAATCTTGTAAATTTACATTAAACGTGTTATCAAACTTCTCATTTCAAGTTTAGATGAACTCATAATGAAAACCTCATTGTGAATTATTAAAATCTTCAAATGTAATACTATTTGAATTGTTGTTTAAGTATTACTCCGTTGTCTGAAGTCTCTGATGAAGAAGTACTCCCTGTGCTATCAGCTCCAGAATTGTTCCGACAATTACTGCGTTCTTCTTCCTAACATAGAAATCTTCTCTGACAAAATTCCAAGTAGGTAAATGTCTTCCTTCTGAGTATTAAAAGCCTGATGAAGGTCAGAGGGAACAAAGGCCGAAACGTTGTGATATCAACAACAAAAATGAAGACAATAATGTTTAACACTTTTGGCTGTCATTTACTATCTTTGTGGCTAACGGACGATAGTTTACAATCTACATGGCTTCATAGAAAAATGGCCCCAGCCCAAACTGCTTGAATAAGAACTAAGAGAACTCATGTTCTCACCGTTTGCCTTTGTCACTCTCAAAAACCTTCAATGCGTGTTGCTTCAGAAAAATTAACAAAGAAACTACGCCGTTTTATTGCAAGAGAGATAGAACTTCCTGTTTAATTCCAGTAGACATTTTTTGCCTCAACATACTTCGGTAAAATCGGTCTTATTACTTTTCTAACTACTACGAAATTATTTAAAGTTACAAGTCTTTAAATCCTCTAACAATTCTATGTGAGTGACTCTGTGGTTTAAATATATGATTAGCAAACTATATCTCCTGAAATCCTTTTGAATCTTTTTCAGCCAAAGCGGCCAAATCAGTCAATTCTAGTGCATGAGAATTGGAATAAGGTTTCTATTTGTTCAAAAAGAAAATATGCCTCATGTTGGTCTTCGTTCTATCCTCCCGAAAGTGACATAATATTTTATGAGGGTTGTCGGCTATTATGTCTTTGACAACCCATTATCCAGTATCCACTGGAACTAAATCTGAATTCGAGATTATCGCTGATATCTTGTGTTCAAGAGACAGTCCCTTCCTTAAGAAGGATTACTGAATATTTCAGTGATGCAAAAAACATTCTTAACCGTCCTAAACCATTTTCAAACACATGATTAAGTTGCTTTATCTTGAGATTTCAGTAGTTTAAGAGATTTTTTTTGCAAAGCCATTTCCATTCTTTAAAGGTTTCTTTTGTGCTACCTTGGTGAACTGAACAGCAGCTATTTTTGTTTCCTCCTGGGCGGCCTCCATTCACCAGCCTTTAAATTCAAGCAATAATACTCAAGTTTGATAAACCTGAAAATCTTTCCACTAAACTATCACATATAAAGTTATATGTTTTTGTGATCTATGTCTAACATGATGTTCACCTCTGGGTTATCTCAAAGAAACTCCGAGAGTTCCTGATTTGTGACAATCTCTCCTTCCCACAGCAAATTTGATCCTGTGAATCAATTTGAACTGCTCTATTCTGCCATCTAGACATGTTGTTTACTTGATTTTGATATGTTTCAAAATAGAAACATTATTTTGGATCTGTAGTGCCTTCTATTTTCCGGACACGTTTCTCAGCAAAAACATGAAGGCGTTTCATTCTTGAAATATCCAAGCGTTACCTGTGAATCTACCCAGAAAAAAAATGATTATAGTTTATTTTCATATCGAGCTCATCTTTTGCGAACTTACTGAAGCAGAATCTGTAGATGCAATGAGCTCGAGTCGTTATGTAGTAATATTTATTGGTGCTACACTGACCCTGATATACCAGCATTTGATCATGGCCATTATTGATGACATCTAAAAAAATGATGAAGTTTAATACTTTGGATTATGCTAAAGCTCATGAAAATGAAGCATCTTGGAATTTGGATTTTATGAGGTTTTTCCAAATTTTGAAACCAGATTCAATTCACTTTAAATTCAGTTCAAGGGAAAGAATCTTCATTCCATTCAATACCTCGCGTCCACATTTATTTTGTTTTCAGTTAAGATCTAAAAGAATTCATAATAGGCTTACGGTCAAATCACGCTGAAAACACCGGTTCTCGTTCGATCACCGAAGTTAAGCATAGTAGAGCCAGTCAGTACTTAGATGGGGGACCGCTTGGGAACACCTGGTACTGTAAGCCCCCAAAGTCCAAAGTCCAACCCTTACCTCACAGTCGGTGGGGGGTGGGGTGTAAACGGTAGTGTCAGAGCTATGCCGCCCGGAACTTCGTTCCTGGTAGGGCCACCCAAGGCGGACAGGTCTGACACACACGCGGCTAACAAGGGCTCTGGTGAAAATCCAAGGAGCGTCTGCATCGGTAACCGGCGGCTTCTGGTCGTTCCTGTCTCTGCGTCTGTGGGAACCCCGCGGCAAGCAAGAACGTTATCCGAGTAGGCCTGGGTACCCTACTTCTGTAATTTATCCCAAGAATCTTCTTCTCATAACAGGAAGAAGCCGGCTCAATCCGCCCAGGGTGAATGCCGCATCAGTACAGTAGTAGTAATATAATAGGCTGCTTTTTCATTAAAGACAATAACAGTATCTACATTCGACTCCACTTGCAGTTCATTCTGCATTTGAAGCACTTTGCAGTTCACACTATCTGGAATGTTCGCTCAGCACTGAAATCTTCAAATTTTCTTAGAACATGTATATTTTGCTTCATTGACAAACTGGTTACTTTCCCAAATTGGATAAACACGAATAAGCCAAATCATCCCTTAGAATTATTTTTCATGAAACCTGTTGGTAATGCGTAATCTTTTTCAATGTATTACGCATAATAATTAGCGTGTCTTGGAGATAAAGCTGTTCCAGAAATATTAACTCGCATATGATACTACTTCAGCACCATTTTGTGTTCCCATTTTTTTCTAGAAATCCTAACCTTCTTGGCTAACATTAAAATAGTGCAACATTTTCTCCTTTTCCCAGCGTCGGAAACAAGGATCTGGTACAGCAAATTCAGTGAAAACTTTAGTTAAATCAGATCGTGAGAGTAGATGATTTCACAAAGCAATCAAAGACAACTCTGTGATATACTCTTTCGATGTGGCTTCTGTATCACAATCTCCAAAGGCACTGCTGATGAAATTTGCATAAAGTCTTTAAATTCTGTAAAAATGTAACATCCTTTTGGAATATGTTCTCTTTGGGTTTTGTGACAAATATGCAGACAGATTTTCAGGTACTGCGTGTTGATTAGGTCTTGAGAGATATCGAATGACCTTTTATTCGCATGAACCCTGACCAATGATGACCTTTTCCATTATAACCTCCCCCAAAAGCTTTCTTATGTTACAAGCAAAAACAACAATCCGGCTCTTTATTTTCTTTTTGTTTTACGCCGGCAAACATAGTGGAAAACCGGAATAAAAATAAATATTACATATGTATAATCGAGTCCTTTTTTTATTCATAAGAATTTAATCAGTCATAGAGCTAACGTTTTCTTGAAACTGTTATTTACGCTAACTTGTAAAACAATAATGAATGATGAAAAAATGAATAAAGAATTTATTGCCTGACCAGAAATCCATGTGATGCTACAATCCTTTAATGTTGTACTATTCTTCATAAGGTAAAAGACTTGTAACCTCAACATGATTTTCGAAATACATATTTTTCCTGGAATTGATCATGTAACTAAAAAGAAAGTTTAGTTTTATTTATTTAATTGTAAATTTTGTTTTAATTATTATTATTAATGATAATTTTTCAAACATTAATTAAATAGCCACAGAATCTGTTTACATTAACAAATAAATCCAATAAAACGCACAAGAACAACTTAGATTTTGAATAAGTAAACTACTCACATTGTAACCATTGTAATTATTTTGTTATTTAAGTGACCAGTTATTTGTAGAAAATTAAAGTATTTACTTTATTATCAAATCTGCAGCTTCATATGTCTATTGAACTTAACATTTCAGATTATCCTTAAATATTTAAGTGGATGGTTTTTATTGTTTAATGCAAAACAACGGCGAAAACAAAAACTTCAGTAATATCCACCATGCAAAACTGTCCTGCAGACTTTGACAAAGAAAGAAAGAAAGAAAGAAAGAAAGAAAGAAAGAAAGAAAGAAAGAACGAAAGAAAGAAAGAATTGATGTCATGTGAGAAAATTTCTCGTTGAATCTCTTCCATTACACCGAAGATGGCGCCATCAAAAATGAATTGAATAGACCGATTTAGCGGGTCATTGCCAACTAAAAAGACCAGGCAGACGTTGAAAAGATTCATCGCTATAACTCAGTAACAAGCAGCATCCTTTATTTTTATCCAGTTACCGACAATATGGTTTCCAGCTCAAAGAACTTTCAACACTTTATGTTGTTACCTCTTTATCAACTTTTGACGCATCCTAGTGACAAATATGTTGGCTATTCATCATTAAGCATATTTTCAATCGTATAAAGTCTAGCAGTGGTGACCTTCTTCATATCTTCATACTTTATTTTTAATAGCCTAAAATTTGCAGAATTATTCTTTTTCTGTATTTATAAATTATACAAATACAGATTTCAGTAGAAATGTATTAATTGTAATAATTCTTTAAGGACGACATTTTTTGCAAGGCAGCATGATTCCATTGATTTATCCTGAACTTCATAATGTTTAAGTCCTATGCTTTGTTCTACATATATACAGTTGGCCCTCGTTCAATACATGCCAAAAGGGGAGAACACTGATCTTTTATTGAGAAAGATACGGTTGTGTCAACTGAAAATCATTTAAGAGTTGAAAAAAATAATCGCTTCGATTTCTTTAAAAAAGATATAATAAATTTTAAGCTACAAGAAAACGGCTGTCTTGTTAAAAATTCAAATAGAATATTAAATAATTTTTCTTTTGTTTAAATACTTTTAATGCATAAATAATATTTGAAAACATATAATTAATTAACCCAAGTAATTACAAACTTTCTATATTCAAGCAACGGAATTGTGACCCAGTAAAAATATAAAGTTAGAATCACGGCAAGGTTTACTTAATTTAATTTCCTTTAGCGTGAACCCTGGCGTAAAATCAAGCAATAAAAAGGTGACATAGGCTTTTATAAAATAAGTAAAATAAATAGCTTGCAAGCAAAGGAATCATTCTATCACAAGTAAAACAGCAGTTTCTACCTTGTTTTGAAGGATTGTTTCTAAGTTACATATAACATGTTATACATACCAGCAGTGATATTCACTCATATAAAAATAATGTTTTTTTTTTTTTTTCTACATCAAAATTTGTATTATTCTACAAATACGAGTGAGTGTTGAAAAGTTCTTTGTCCAATAACAAAAAAACCTGATTTGGGGAAGTGCATTAAGCCGATAATTTTTTAGTGTATATTTAATAAGATAATGTCAACCATGAAATAAAATCCCAGTGGATTCAATTTTTAACTTTGATTTTTGCTATTCACATTGATTTGTAACAATCGCTAAAATTGTTTGTACTGAAGTTTATGTGAAATTTCAGTTATTTAAAGCAAAAAGGTTTTCGTTGTTTTGCAGTATTCATTCTTGTTTCTCACGTGTATTTCTTATACACTGAAATATTTTCCCACATCAAGATTGGCAGTAACTATTTTTATCGGTTATAAAAACCAATGAGTAAGTTTTTGTATTAACATTTTGTAAGTATTAGTATTTTGTATTGAATATGAAATTACATTGTCCTTATTTTGTTTTATTTTTACAGGTGGAAGAAAAATACGAGATACCAGCGTCAAAGGTGAAAAACACGTATAAAAGATCGAAAAAGGGGTGAGTAAATGCTTGGATAGTTACGATATGAAAAGGATTGGTGAAAAAAAAGGGATATAAAGAGAAACATTGAGAGATTAATGCTGAAATGCAAACTGCATGGAATTTGGCTTTGCATGTTGATGAGAATAATTCCCTGAAAAATAGTTTGTTAAGTGCTAAACGATATTTCACATATTGCCTATTTCAAATTAGATTATCACATTTACAATAGTGTATAGATGTTTATTTATGTATGTTTATAAAGAATTTCTAAAGCATTGCAAAAAGGTTTGTCTATATTTCTGAGATGAGGTATTATGTACATTATTTACATTATTCGGTCTATTGTCCTCATCTTTGTCGCCATATTTATTACAAGGTTTCGGCCGTTGTACGCTCCGGCCTTCAGGTGGTTGGAATGTCGAACTGAACCCTTTATTACGCTCACTGGGGTAGACTGTTCTAGTTCCACGTGCCATGTTTAATGGATGTCAGTTATCAGTTATCTCCTGTTAATTTTCCCTCTGAAAGTTCTCCGCTGCCTTAAATGGGTATTGAAATCACACTCTTTGGGTCCTGTCACTGGATCTAACCAACGCCTTTATCCACTAGAACAGTCTACCCCAGTGAGCGAAATAAAGGGTTCAGTTCGACATTCCAACCACCTGAAGGTCGGAGCGTACAACGGCCGAAACGTTGTAATAAATATGGCGACAACGATGACAATAGTCTGAATAATGTAAATAATGAAAAAAAGGTTGTTTTTTATGCATCTGGTAAAGATCAAACTGATCAAATAATTCCTTTAAAATTAAAGTTTTCTGGAAACTTTCTTTGTAAGTTGCGGTATTTACTTTCCTTGTTTCGTAATCATTCAACCGCATAGTTAGCGGTGATTCTAGAAAAGTGGGTTTTTCTATATCATTGGGACTCTTCATGTGCAAAACGATCGACTGTCATTATAATAAGAAAGTGTAAGACGATGTCCATCTTATAGGGCGCTCATAATCCATTGCAAATACACGTACTCATATATCTGTGAGTATACACACATTCCAATCGTAGCAATCCTGATGTTTAATTATATTTCTCTTCTGTTAACTCACAGATAATATCTTTTATACTATATATTTGTGTGCCTTGACAGCGAAATGTCAAAACTATTTTTAGGTCGACATAAGTGACACTGGGGAATTAACATTTATTTTATGAATTTCCCTGGTGTAAATATTGAAAGGAGGCAATAGCTTTTTTTTCTTTTTTCTTTTTTCTTTTTCTTGTGCACATGGTTAATCATCATAATAACCACAATTTTATACTTACTTCTCTTTTATGTTTGCTTCGGTGTATACAACATTCTACCTTTCACAGTCATTTCTAAATTTAAGGTACAATAGGGTTGTGGAAAATGGATTTAGAAATTGAAAATAAAATAAGGCAGTGAAATTATGATAAAATATTTGGGAAATGGTAGAAGACATTGTACATTTATTTTAATATTGACTACTCAATTTACCCAGTGCAAAATAATCAGATATTTGAATATTAGTTTTTTGGATGAATGTATGTTTTAAACAATAATGTAACAAAAATTATTCATTAATACGTTTTCAAATGATTCTCGCTATTTAAAAATGATCTGTTATCATAGAAGAAATTTTCCATTTTAAATATTGTTTATTTTCATGAATATAACGAGGTATGGTTAAGCATTCATTACACGCATTGGTGTTACTTCTGTTTTTAATTGTAATTTCATTTATTTATTAATCCTTATGTGTCGATATTTTCACGTTTATTTTAATAGACGCTAACTAATTTTAATAGTTACTAACTTCATGATAAAAGTATTGAATGATCACTTTTATAAAACTGAAAATATTTCCACGAAACAAAACAAAAAAAAAACAGCCGAAACCAAAACTGAAATATCTATTTTCACCATGCAGAAAATGTCCCAAGTAACAAGTACGAATATAACGCATTTTTTCAGAGAGAGATGATTAACTAGATCATAGTTGCAAGAATGTGTATAGGCTTCTGTGCATACATGCACTAGCACACTCATGTGAAAATACATAATTATATATATATACATACATACATATATATATATATATATATATATATATATATATATATATAGATAGATAGATAGATAGATAGATAGATAGATATGAAGAAAAATATACTGAAAAAACAAATAAAAATCCTAATATGCGATTATGCTGTTTTAATGTTTAATGTCGACGTCGGACGTTTCGGTCTAATAGACCATCTTCAGGACATATTCTTAAACATAATTAACATAGACCATATATAATTCAACATGAAAAAGACGATGGACATAAAAGCAAGACCAATCCAAACAGATAACTGAAATCTTTTATAAGATCAGCGCTCCGTTTAAATATGATCACGTCGTCGTCACGTGGGCGATGTTGTGAAAACGTATTCCTAAAATTTGAGTATTTTGAATGAAAAACGAAAAGAATTTTATTTTTGATCTAAAACTTATATGTACGTTTGTCGAGCATTAATCTTGCTAGAAAAGGGGAAATATTAAAGAAGCGGATTTATGAAGCAGGCATAATATCTATTTCACGCACGGTGAACACTAGACCTGGCTTCTTTAATATTTTTCTTCATACTGTCTGTTTACATATATATATATATATATATATATATATATATATATATATATATATATATATATATATATATATCGTTGAATGATAATTTAAGCAGAATGCCTACAATATTCTTCTCTTTCAGGGTTCTAATCAAAATGGACAACAATATTATACAGCATTATGCCCACGAGACAACGTTCATCATCGAGAAGTGTCGGACACCAGACGAAAAAAGTTATGAAATTATACTGACTGAAATTGACCCTTGAACATGGACTAAAGCAACAAATCCGTCCCTTTCAAAGGCCCCCCTTGCGGGATAAATATGTACCAAGTAATGAGTATATGAGTTCGTGTTTACAAATGCCCTAGCACACTCATGTGAAAATGCAGAATTTTTCACACACACACACACGCACGCGCGCGCACACACTCACACCCACAGATACACGCACACACACACTCACACACACAGATACACACACACACACACAGATACACACACACACACACACAGATAAACACACACACGCACACTCACACACGCATATATATATATATATATATATATATATATATATATATATATATAATCTAAATGCTATAACTTTATAAAATATCAATAAAGCTATGTTCACTTCGGACTCAAAATACTTTCTTTCAAAATACACTGCGATAAAATATATTTGTTATTATTCAATTTTGTTGGAAACAAATTTTGGGGCTATTTTTTATTTACAAAAGACAAACATGGACATTAATCATCTTTCGAACTGTGTTACATACATATCTTGTTCTACGTGAACCCAATCTCACAATTTCAAATATTCGTCAGTTTTCATTGAGTAAAGTACACATACAAATATTAGTCAGTTTTCATTGAGTAAAGTACACATACAAATATTAGTCAGTTTTCATTGAGTAAAGTACACATACAAAACATAACATCACAAAACATTCTCTGAACTCAACTTCAAAATATAACAAAAATACGATATGAATATTATTCATTTTTTTCTTTACATTTTGAAATGCAAACATTTGAAACCTTCAACAATTCTTGTTGCTAGTCGTAAAGAACCCGGCCACTGTCATAACCGACTATGATCAAAAGAATTCGCATGTTTTTCTTATTGTTGAGTATGTGTATGCATTTGTGTTCGTATGAATGATATCATTGTTTTATAAACGCAGCATTTTTATATATACTCCCACATTAACCCGTGGTGAACTATTTGGCCTTATATATATATTCATAAAACAAAAATATATAAACAACTACAAGTGTGTTTGCATCCATCCAGGCACATTTATGTAAAGCTGTTTGCCGTGATGCAGTTTTTTTTAAAAAAAAATGCATAAGCTGTCTCCTCTGAAACGACCAAACTGAGGAAGCGGATCTGCTTTTCTTGTTCTACTGTTAACCTCAACATCTTCAAATCATTCATCAAACAACATCATTCATTTCCTTTCCATGTCCCACCGAATTCAGGAGGTTTGTATCAGGTTCTGGGCAATTTAGTACTTTGAAATCAATAAAATTGATTTTAACTCATGACTGAACTTCGTCTATTTTTATTAGAAGAACAGACATTCCTTTCACATAACTGCAGTTCATTGTATATGGTTTAGAATGAATCGAAACTTTTTTGATTGACGACACAATGATACTTGGTCAAGAATAATATTCCGTGAAAAATCATAAATTCAATCATTAATAAAACCATTAATAGCAAAAATTCAAAATGAAGTATCTTGATTTTTATAATTGTTTAATAGAGATTATTTACAATCTTTTTGAATTCCATATGTCATGCAATTTCCTCTTTTCAGTTGCTACCCCATATGTAATCTAGTAAATCAATTATTGGCTAACTAAAACCATATGACCATACTACCTATTTCTTTCACTGCTATCATGTACACATCATATGCCTATTTTTCGTGCACATGTACCACTAAGACATTCATAAATGTTATGATTCTATCTTTAGCAGAAGACACGTTTCTTAAATTTATAGATGTCGATGAGCATTCTGTGAAACTGTCTTTCCTATGTACTTCAATTTTCAGGAGTTTGTAACAAACACCAGTTGCCTTTAACAAAAAAAAATGCATTCAGGAAAAAAACACTGGTTTATTGACAATACAAAACTCAACAAATCATCGAAACAAGTTATCATTATTCAAATAAAAACACATAACATCTCATAAGGTTCTTACCTGCTTTGATTAATTTGTTAGTTAATGAAAGTTTCATAAACATCAATTCGCAAAAGTTGATAGTGAACACTGTAAATATAATTTTGTCTTCTGCATGCTACAGCCAGATTATTTTATATCAACGTGGATAAAATTTATTCTCTTGAAAAAGAGTTTCGTCCAGTAAATGATTTTTGGAAGAGATACATCTCAAGCTGAATTTGGAATTCACATTCGCTGGTGTCTGATAGTATCTGTTGTAGCTTTCAGATTTCAATTTATGTACAAAAACGATAATAAAATGTAAACAAAATTTACGGTGGCTTTCTTCGGCTGTAATTGAATCTTTCTATATCTTCTTGTAATTGAATATTTATTGTTTTTTTTTCCATTTTGTTTCAATTTTGCATTTACAGTATTTTTTTTACAATACACAGCATGTCTACGAAATCTTTAAATTTATAAAAATGTTATGGAATATGGGGTTAGTGATCCAAACGAGAGCCAGAAATCATTTAGAAAATATTTGGAAATAGTGTCGAAAACTGAGATAGTCATATCCTTAGTGCTGCTATTGTTATAAACACTTACAAGGGAAAGGGAACAAGAAGTAAAGACAAAAGCAACCCAAAAAGAAAAGTAGTCCGGAAACCATAAAGTATCTTTCAGTGAAATTAATACACTTTTAATAAAAAAAATATCTTACACAAATGATTGCAATTTGTTCGTTAAGTAAAAGCCTAAATATTTTTTTTGCATTGAGCCATTATCTGTTCACTGTTGCAAACAGGGAGTTCCTCATATTTCAATTACCTTTGTTCTGTAGGTTATACACGTGTATATATCGCATTAAAATTTATTTATATTGAACTGAAATTAAAGTATTCAGCTCTTACTAATAATTATAATCTATCAAACCAATGTAGATTGCAAACGAAAACAACATTTTCAAAAGTGATTACAATTTTTAAACGGCAATTTTCATCTTAATGATCTCATAAAATGTTTCTCTATTAACAGTTGTCAGTATTTTAGGCAAAAGTGATAATCTTGAATATTAATTCCTCTCTACTTGAGAAATTAGCAAATTTTCCTTATCACATTTTTCTTGATTTGGCTTTGAACCAAATGAACATAAACTTAGTTTAATACTTGCAGTTTACCTTATAACCTACTGCATAAAATTCCAGATATGAGGCGTAAATTAACACTTACTAAAGGCAATTAGCTTAAATGTTCCAGTTAAGAATAAAGAAGCACAATTCCCTCAACAGAAGTAAACAATATTATCATAATCATTTGATTTGGATGAAATGATTATGGATATTTTTGAGTTGCCCTTGTTTAATGTCTAATTAAACAATAAATTCCAGCTCTTGTTTTTGTCCTTACGTTGTCATACAGCAAAATTGTTTCAAACAAAACATTACGAACTCTAGTCAGTGATTGGAACCAGGAACTTGAATTAAAGCATATTTTTGTTTATGTGAAACCTTCAATGTGTTTATAATGATCATTTTATAATCAATCAATTTGACAAATCTTTTTTTTTACTTTTATATACAATGCTGTTTCTCATTGATGGTATTTGAGGTGATTCCAATCAAAATGCATCATATTGTTTCTTATAAACAACGTTTTTTCTTCAAACGATCCTCCTGAAACGATAATTGAAGGTGACACCATTTATACACTTAAAGTCCATTGGATTTTGATATTGCCCACCTGAAAAATCTGCAAATGTTGTAATGGTTAGAGGCTCGGAATGCGAAATTGGCGTGCCAAGTTTGAATTCTGATCGAGTTCATTATATTCACTTTTGCACAGATACCCTATGAATCCACCTCTTCTCCCTAGATATGGATTAAATAGCAGGACACATTGAACTCTCTAACAGTGATCAGCAACCAGTCTAGGAGAAGGAAACTCTGAATTCAAAACCTTGTGTAGATCTGGCTAAGCACGAACTATTTAACCATCGAAAGGATCGTGGAGTTAGCCATGACGTTATGGTCTCCACTGTGATGTAATAGATTGATATAGATTAAAATCCATTATTCATAAATAAATGCATATCTTTTAAAAAATTTTCCTATTTTAAAACCCCTGAAAACTTTCAAAGGTAACTTCTCATTTCCTGTTTATTTATTTATTTCTGTATAATTCAAAATAAATTATGGATTCTATGAAAACTCGCCAAATCTTTAATGAACCATATATAAAAGGAGTACCATCAATGCCATTGAAATTAGTACCATTTATGCCATTGAAAGGAGTACCATTTATGCCATTGAAAGGAGTACCATTTATGCCATTGAAAGGAGTATAATCAATGCTACAATCGGTTTTTACTATATTTTTCAGAATCGATTTTTTCGAACTATAAGCCGAATTTTTCCGCGCTTAAACGCATAAAAAGAATATGTAAGCATATATTCACCATACCTTTAAAGATTAAAGTGAATATTTTTCATAGGTCTGATTTCTTTTTGAAGAAATTTTGTGATTTGTTGCCTTGAACATTATATTCCTTTGCACTCTTATCGTTTTAAATAATTTATTGAAACTTGGCGTATTTAATTAAGTGTAAATTATCGAAGAAAAATAATGTACTTATTACTTTGCCGGTGTCTTGAAACTGTTCAGACATATATACTTAATAGTTAGCAATATGATATAAAATTATAATATACTTAGTATTCATACACATGTTAATGTATTTTAGTAGGCACACACAATAGAATTATTCGTATATTCATATTCATATGTACGCATATTATATTCAAAGTGTATATTAAAATAGAGGCTGTGATGACTACAACTGAGTTTAGCCTCTTAATTAAAGATTGTAAAGTGCGGGTACTGTAACAGTTATCGGCATAGAAAAGGCAATCGACGAGCCGAGTTCAAATTTCGCTCTAATGCTCTACAGAAATCTATATTTTCTCTTTCCAGTTATGGGTTAAATAGTATGATAGACTCACCCATCTGGGTGTCAACCAGTCTAAGAACAGCACTAAAATTCCAAATTTGGAATAAGACAATGAAAAAGCATTCCTCTATTATA